AAGTTTTTTTTTTTTTTTTTTTTTTTTTTTTTTTCCTTCAAATATTGGTAGGGGACACATTTGCAACTGTTACCGTCCGTTTCGAGGAATGATGAAACAGGGGAGGGGGATTACGAAAGCTGCCCGAAGTTGAAACGTATTAGACTGATCTAATGCAATATTCACTGTTAGAATACAAAATACACCGTATAGTGCCTATAGTTGTATTCACTGCTAAAATATTGACGAGTAAAGCTTTTTTTATTCGACGGTAGGTTAGCTTTGGCTGATCGCATTGAGACGTTACGTTATTGAAATTTTACATTTTAAGTCAACTTTGACAAGCTTCATTGATAAAATATGAATAGATATGCGAAAATAAAATTTCAACGACTGGCGTTGGTCGAGGTCAAGAAATTCACGTATAATTACTAGTACAGTATTCACTGCATGTACTAGTTTTCTTTCTTTCTTTTTTTTTTTTTTTTTTTTTTAATGAATTCGAAGTCGATACTCGCGTATACTGTGTAAGTGCATATTTCTAGTAACAGTATATTAATATCGCTCGAGGCGCATCGGTGAAACGCATTATAATTCATAACGTTTAAAAATTTTTTAGTTTTTAAGTTAATAAATGGAATGTACATTGTTGTTAACGCTTATCGGTGAAAATTATGAAAACGTTGGAACGTCCGCCTGTTTTATTCAAACAGTAAGTACAATGTACGAAAAAAAAAAGGTGTGAGCAGTGGTAAGTAACGACTGTACTATTTTGTTTCTGTTGAACAAAGTGGCATATACTATCTTAAAAATACACTATCTGGTGCTGATAATAAAAATTTGGTCTAAAACAAAGCAATTGTTCAAATAGATAAGCAGTCGTTTTTTTTCCTCCCAAAAATTTCGAAACAATTTCTTCCGTAACTAATTTGTAAAACAGTTATTTTCTATATCGTTCTCCAAAACTTTGGCATATGCGCACGTCTATTTTGAAGAAAAAAAAAAAAAAAATACGTTTGGTCAACCAATCGAAATTTCGATAGCGACAAAGGCTTCTAGTGGTAATTAAGGAATCGTCGGGAAAATCCCGTTCTTCCACCTTTGTACGAAAATCAATTGTTAACAATATAGCACACGTCATCAGGCTTGAAAAAAATGGTTCACTCGTTTGCTCATCAATCACATCATCACCATCATCATCGTCATTATGCTCCTCCGGGTCACAAAACCAATTAAATAGAGGGGAAAAAAAAAAATAAACATATATATATCCCTATTTCTCAAAAATGCTAATTCTCGAGAAATAATTCGCATACCGCTATCTCGCAGCAAATATAGGTAGCGCTCCGTGCCATAAATTATTAACTCCATGTATTTTATTGTCTATACGTATATACTTGGGTTTACCTGATTAAAAATTACGTTATCGCGAAAGATCGTTTGATAAAAAAATATGCAAATTCGCCGATATAGCGACATTTGCACTCATCTACACACACGAGCTTTGAATTTGATTTTATATCGCGAATCCGCAGTGCGTTACAAGTCATTGTCCCCTACACGTACTATATTTGCGTTTATATGCACCATAACAATAATATTATACTTGCGGGTTATAACAACGCATTTTGCGTGATGTATAGAAAACAAAAACAAAAAAAAAATAAGCGCGCAAACTCTCACTTTTAATCACGCACAATTGGCCATTTCGTTTCTTTCATTTTTTTTTTTTTTTTTTTTTTTTTTTTTAATGGACATGGGGTCCGTAACATTGCGCTCGTAAAAATCGTGCTGGGACTACGTATAAGTGTACCGCAGATGGATTTTTTTTTTTTTCCATTGTCCTTTCAATAAAAGGCAATCAAATGAGAAAAGCGTGGGCGACTTGATTGAAAATTTTTTTCCGTTTACAGAGTTTCACGATTTGCTTTTCGCGATAGAAGGGAAGGGAGAAATGGAAAAAAAAAAGAATCGTAGTGCCGATTTTACGCCAATTAATCATTTCGCGAGTGTAATGGATGGAGAAAATTGATACGTTTGGTTGATCGGTCGAAAGAAGAAAATTGATGGAAACAGGAAAAAAAGGAAATTTTTTATCGATTAGTAAAAAAAAATTAAAAAAAAAAAACTGTATAAGCGGAGGAAAATAGTTAGGTATATACACAAATAAACAAACGAATGAAGGTGTGGGGGGGGGGCGTAGAAGGCTCGACTAGAAAATGAATGGATTCTCCTTAGGAATGTTAGCGCGGTAGCTGAGGTATACAGCGTGCACAAGTATACCCACGGCATCTATTTGCATCCACCTCTTGTCTATTATTATTTCGAAGTAACTTTATTTCAACCGTAGAACGAAACTATTAATAATTAACCAGATACTTGAAAACCTATAACGGCACTTTGGCGCGCCGCATCTACACAAAAAATGTAGATCAATCGCGTGCGAAACAACTTTTCACTCTTTTTTTTTTTTTTTTTTTTTTTTTTTTTTTTTTTTTTTTTTTTTTTTTTTTTTTTTT